GAATGAACGAATGATGGATGGATGGATAGATGGGTAGGTGGGTAGATGAATGGATGGATGCATGATGGATGGATAGGTGGGTGGGTAGATGAATATATGAATGAATGAATGATGGATGGATAGGTGGGTGAGTAGATGAATAGATGAATGAATGATGGATGGATGGATGGATGGATAGGTGGATGGGTGGGTAGATGAATGGATGGATGGATAGGTGGGTGGGTAGATGAATATATGAATGAATGATGGATGGATGGATAGGTGGGTAGGTAGATGAATGGATGAATGAATGATGGATGGGTAGATGAATGATGGATGAATGGATAGAGGGATGGATGGATGATGGATGAATGGAATGGTGGGTGGTGGATGGATAGATGGATGAACAGACAGATGGATGGATGGATGGATGGATGGATGGATGGATGGATGGATGGAGTATCCTCACCCATACATCTATCCCTCTCCTATATTTCTCAACAAATTTTCAAACAATTCCCCCTCTATCTGTCCGCCCTTCCTGGCACTGTCATGGCCCATTCCTTATCACCCTCCCACCACCCCCACCACTGTTCTAACAACTCCTCACATGCCCTCCTACATGTCTTTCCGAACTCACCCCACCCTCCCTCCACACTCATCCCCTCATGCCTCCCCACCCCGTGGCACACCCATACTTCTCTCCCCCAAGTTGACAATCGCTGCACTTTTGACACACTCACCATGGATTCCACACTTCAGAGATGCTGCCCAGTTTCCAGTCCTTCCCAGCTACACGCATGCCCTACTTCTTCAACGGGATTTCTTGGCCCTTCACAAATGCTCACCCATCCCATTCTCCTCACACACTCTTGACAAGCTCCTCAAACACGCAGCACGCCACCGGTCTTTATTCCTGACACTCCATCACTGCTTGCTACCCTTTCCATCCATCCGTCTCACCTGCCCTGCCCACCCCCCCACATGCCCACTGGGCCCTCCTCTCACATCATGGTCATCCCCATCCAGCCCACTCCTGGGGTGTGAAACCCCTTGAACGCTCACTCACCTCTTGCAGACTCCACCAGTGCACACCCACTGCATCCCTCTGCACACTGATTTCACTCTCATTCCATGATTCAGGCAACCCTTCCATCATCCACGTGCACCAACCACACCTCACACCGGGCGCACGTTGGCAAGCACGTGCTCCATTCTCCCATGGCACAAGACCTCCAGGGCGCTCCCCTGCACCCCTGTCCTCCCACACCCGAGTCCACTCAATGCATCGCATGTCCAAGCCACATGCATTCGCACCGAGTTGAGATGTGCTCAGAGCCATGGGGTGCTCATCCCGCCTGCCTTGTACAGTCCCCAAACCCACCCCACACTGCCTCCAGTGCCACCCCGGAGTCCCTGGTCCGCCCAAGTTTCAGACGCATCCACTTCCATGCCCACTCACAGTCGCCGCCCCAGCCCAGCCCAGTCTCTGCAGACGTGCCCGTGCATCCCGCCCACAGCCCATCCAATGTGTCCTCGCCTTTTCGGTCTCATGTCCCATGACAGTGAGCGACCCCCCAGCCCCCGCCTTCTCGTGGCCCTGGTGGTATGTACTACTGGGAGCAGTGGTGGCTGCTGCCTGTGTCCTCGTCTTGGCATTGTTCCTCATTCACCGCCGGAAGAAGGAGACCCGCTATGGGTGAGTCAAAACCCTGTGGGGCACCACCGGGGGCTAAGATGGAGAGGCTGGAGGCAGAGAGACCAGCGAGGCGGGCAGGGCAGGAGGGCTGACCAAGAGCCCCAATGAGGGCAGGGAAGGGCCCAAAGAATCGGCAGAAAGGTGGAAGAGGGTGGTCCGAGGTGCCCTGCAAATGCCAGAAGGGAAAGTGGGTGAGGTGTAGGGTTGAGACGGTGCTGGTAGAAAGAGAAGACGGTCTGCTTGGTTCTTTCCTTCCTCATTTTCTACCCATTCTCCACAGGGAGGTGTTTGAGCCAACAGTGGAGAGGGGTGAACTGGTGGTCAGGTACCGCGTTCGCAAGTCTTACAGTCGCCGGACGACTGAAGCCACCTGTAAGTGAACCCCAGGACTCCCTGTCAGGCTGGGGGCAAAGAGTGTCGAGCCCTGAGCCTTCTGGGTCTCTGTAGAAGCGTGAGCTAGCCAAAAGATTCTGGATATCTGGGACCACTGAACACCTCAGAGGCACGCGTAAGAATAAGGGAATTGCAAAACCACCCAGAACCTTAGGATGCCAGAATCTTACTTTTCATGGTTGTGTTGATATAGGGCCCACCTCTCATCCAGCTCAATGGCTTAGACATAACAAAGAGTTGTACAAAGAATGACACAATATGAGCTATACTAAATCTTAGACACACTAACCCCCACAGTCGTTGGGGCACAGAACAATAGAATGAAGGAGGAGGAGGAGGAAGAGACCAAATTGCAATCATGATGAAACGCAATGATGACAATGGATAGGATGACAAGGATAGGATGCTATCATCAGAACAAAAAATCCTATCATTGTGAATGAGGGGGAATGTGGAGTGGAGACCCAAAGCCCATCTGTAGGCAATTGGACATTCCCTTACAGAAGGGTCTCGGAGAGGAGACGAGCCAGTCGGGGTGTGATGTAGCAACAATGAAACATAAAGCTTTCCTCTAGTTCCTAAATGCTTATCCCCCCTATCCACTATCATGATTCCAATTCTACCTTACAAATCTGGCTAGACCAGAGGAGGTACACTGGTACAGACAGGAACTGGAAACCCAGGGAATCCAGGGCGGATGATCCCTTCAGGACCAGTGGTGTGAGTGGCGATACTGGGAAGGTAGAGGGAGGGGGTGGGTTGGAAAGGGGAACCGATTGCAAGGATCTACATGTGACCTCCTCCCTTGGGGACGGACAACAGAAAAGTGGGTGAAGGGAGACGTCAGGCAGGGCAAGATATGACAAAATAATAATTTATAAATTATCAAGGGTTCATAAGGGGGCTGTGGAGGGAGGGGAAAATGAGGACCTGATGCCAGGGGCTTAGGTGGAGAGCAGATGTTTTGAGAATGATGAGGACAATGAACGTACACATGTGCTTGACACAATGGATACACGTATGGATTGTGATAAGAGTTGTATGAGCCCCTGATAAAACGATTCAAAAAAAGGGATAGGGTGCTGATGTGATGGAGGAGGATGTTGAGTTGACATGAAAATAATGGTGAAATGACGGTGATACCAGCGACGACGATGATGATGGTGTTAGGATGATGGTGCTGCTGATGATGGCAGCAACCCAAACCAAGCTCACTGCCCTGACTCCTAGTGTCCCCATAGGACCGAGGAGAACTGCCCCTGCGGGGTCCTAAGACCACAGCACTTTACAAGAGTAGAAAGCCTCGTTTTTCTCCCGGGGAGCAGCTGGTGCTTTCAGACGGCCAACCTTGAGGACCACAACCCAAACCCATAACCCCCACGCCATCAGGGCTCCCTCGAGGTGGCAACAGAATCTTCACCGTCAGAATGTCTTAGGCCTGCAGACTCTGATTGTAGATAGAGGGACCATCCCAGCCAATGTAGAACCTCAGAGGCCACCCAGTCAGATCACCTCATTTTCCCAGTCAGGCAAACTGAAGTCCAGAAAGAAGAGATGGAGTTAGATCTCTTTCTAGCACGCGGGGAGAAGCCAGCCCCGGTCCCAGCGGGGCGTTTGAAAGGGGCTGGGAAAGACATTTATCCAAGAGAAGGAAGAGGAAGCCAAGAGGTCGCAGCCATCCAGTGGGATGAGACACAGCAGTCGTTCTCAAAGTGTGAGCCAGGTTCCCTGGGGCCCCCAAGACCTATTGCAGGGGGGCCGTGGGGTCAAGTGTATTATCATGAGGATAGTAAGATGTTATTTGCCCTTTTCACGCTCCTTCCCTCATGAGCCTTCAGCGGAGCGCTCAGTTTTCCAGGGCTTCCTGGTATTGATGACGCCGTTTCCCCCAAGGATTGTCCCAGTCTTGTCATTTAAAAGCCCTAGTTTCCAGTATGACTACAGCAACATGTCGATCTGTCCATCTCCCGTTAACAAAGCTCTTTGTAGCCTGAGGAGGGTCAAGACTGTCAAGGGGTCCAGAGATGAATACCTTTGAGAAGGGTTGGTTCCCAACAGCCAGAATGCATGAACTACAACCCACACAACCACACTTGATCATGATGCCATACACATCGCATTAAGGGAATGAATCCCAGCATTAAAAAAGAATTAACATTGTTGAGACCTGATGGGAGAGAGATGGGGCTACTATGCCCATACAGAGTCACAGTCTTGGGAACTCAGAGCTGCAGCTCTACACCCTAGGGTCGCTATGAGTCAGCATCGGCTCAGTGACAGGGAGTTGGGTTTTGGTTTATGAGACTGTGTTTCTATGAACTGTGTGGCAAAACAGAAAAGAAAGACCATGGTCAGGAAAGTTGGCTACCCCTGGGAAGGCAGGTAGGTCATGGTCTGCTCTTGACCTGAGTGAACGGCTTGAATTGATGATTTGGGGGAAAGTTGAGGTTTGGTTTTAAAAAAACAAAAAAAACCATGCAGAATTATTTCAGTATTTGTCTTAGACTGGGCTCTCTAGAAAAGTTAAACCAGTGATGTGTATGCATGTATGTACAAGAGAGAAGTTTATACCAGGAGAATGGCTCGCGCTAGCAGTAGACAAGTTCCAAGCCTGCTGTCAGATGTTAGGCTGGGGGCTTCTCCTGACCAGCATAGCTGTAGGAGGGGCTGGTAAGCCGAGATCAGAGGAAGATGATAAGCTTGTGGCTGTAGGGCCCACTGCATCCAAGGTCAACCAGTCAGATGGCAGGCCTTCAACCACTCCCAGTACCAGCAGGCAATATGGCAGGCAATTCATTGGCTCAAGTCCAAAGAACTGGAGATTGGTGAGCCAGATGCAGAATCCAGACCCAGCACACACACAAAAAAGCAAGCAAGTTTTCCCACAGCATCGACTTAGGTTGGAAGCAAGCCACACCCTGGGGAGACTTCCTATCAATTGATCTGGGCTGTGATCTGAGTAGAGGGTGTTGCATTCCACCCTAACTTTCCTACAACTGATTGGGTACTCATAGCAGATCCCATTATGGAAGTGATTTACATTGTGCTAGATCACATCATGGGGAGTGACTAGGTCCTAACTCCGAAACCATGGAGCATCGTAGCCCAGTCCAGTTGACACAAAACATAACTCTCACAGGGGTGGATCCCTGCTAATAAATGTCACCTGAAGGTCAACCCTGCTTTGTGACTCTGTCCACTGCCACTCTCTATGCAGTGAACAGCCTGGGCATCAGTGAAGAATTGAAGGAGAAGTTGCGGGATGTGATGGTGGACCGGCATAAGGTGGCCTTGGGGAAGACCCTGGGAGAAGGTGAGTTCTGTAAGCATGTTCTTGTCCAACACACACACACACACACACACACATTTCCCTGAACCTTGAGGTCCTTCACTTCCCCTTCAGGATCCAAACACAAGAAACGTAGTCCCCAGAGGACCCCTGAGATCAGTGTTTTCCTCTCACTCTCCACAGGGGAGTTTGGAGCTGTTATGGAAGGGCAGCTGAACCAGGATGACTCGATACTCAAAGTGGCAGTGAAGACGATGAAGAGTGAGTCTGCGCGCGCGCACGCACACAAGTGGGACCCCTCCCTCCCCTCAGCCCTCTTCCCTGTGCCACCAAGGAGGCAAGAAAGCAGAAATGCTCATGGAAAATTAGCCCGATCATAGAGCCCCAGTGTTTGCAGAGTGGAAACGGGGTGCAGGTCAGGTACTTCAATACAAGGAATTGAATATAGGAAATGTACCCGAAAAGTGTAGGAAGGAATAAAGGGCAGAGAGAGAAGGTGATGATGCTACCACATGGCACATAGACTAGGGATGCCTGATGGGCTCTGAAGACCAAAGAGTTAGGGGTTACCCTGTGGGAGCTAGAAACGTGGAGGGGAAGTAGCCATTGCCAAGACCATATCCCAAGTGCAAAGAGGAAGGGTGAGAAACCCTGTTTTCTCTCGTCCTCCCATCCACCCACCTGCTGATTTTCCATCAGCGTCCGCCTTTAGCAGACTCCAATAGGAACCCAGTCCTAAAGGGAGTCTGGGACATGTAATTTTCAGGGGTAGGCCCCCTGTGACACACAGCAGAATAGGGAAAGGAGGCACCCAGCTTTATCACGTGGCAACTGTGTAATCGTATGCAGGTGCCTTTCCCTTTCTGAGCCAAAAAAGGATCATCACATTCCAACCTTCTAGGATCCTTGTGAGGCAAAGCCCTTAGCCCAGAAGGTGGGTAAGACTATTCGTGTGTAAGACTGCATGATCTCCATCATCAGAGAGGGCAGGAGGCAGTCTAGGGTCACACAGCACAGAGCGTCCAGGGTGAAGCCCTGACCGCACAGGGAAGGAGAAACAGGTGGGATCAGGCTGGGATTCGAGGAGAGAGAAGATTGATCGCTCCTGAATGATCGGGGTACAGATCTTTGGGCTCTGGAGCCATCAAGCAAACCCAGGGTTGCAGTGGTTACATGCAACTGGTTACTGAAAGGTAAGCAGTTGGAAGCACCAGCCACTCACGGGCCACATCTCACTCCTCCTGGGTGCACTCCTGTCTGAGGAAGAGGAGATGACGATGACAATGATACAAGAGAGGAAGGGGATGGAGTCCTCTCCCTCACTCCTCTCCTCACCCACCCTCCCACCCCCAGTTGCCATCTGCACAAGGTCGGAGCTGGAGGATTTCCTGAGTGAGGCCGTGTGCATGAAGGAGTTCGACCACCCCAACGTCATGAGGCTCATCGGTGAGACAGGGGCTTTCCCTGCCCTGTAGGTGAGCCCTGGTGGCATTGACCAGTAAGCGTTGGGTGGCTAACAGCAAGGTTGGCAGTTCAAACCCAGCAGCTGCTCTGTGGGAGAAAGAAGAGGCTGTCTGTGTGTCTATAAAGATTGACAGCCTCAGAAATCCTGGCAGTGGTTGAGGGTCCTGGGCCCATAAGGAGCCCTGATGGTGCAGGGGATTAGGGTTCGGTCTGCTAAGCACATGGTTGGCATTTCCAATCCACCAACCACCCTGATGGAGAAAGATGAGGCAGATTTACGAGTTCAGAAAATGGGGCAGGCCTCTTCTGTCCTGCCCGGTCCTTGAGTCAGAATCCAGGTCTCAGCTTTTGGGTCCAGGGCCCATGGAGGCAAGATCAGAGGGAGCAAGCACCCAACCTTGAAGTTCCCTGGCCTCCCCTCTCCTTCCCTCCTTTGACTCTCTCCAGGCTTGGAATGTGACCTCTGACTTTTCCCAGAAATAGCTGAGGTCCCCGGGAGGGCTGGGAAACATCCCTGGGAACCGCTGCTGGAAATGGCATCTTGGAAAGCTTTGTCCTTGCCACTGCCCCCTCCCCAATTCCAAGGCCGGTTTTTTTTTTTTTGGGGGGGGGGGCAGGGGAAGAGGAGGGAGCCACGAGCCAGAGCGCCCGGTTGGGAAGCGGGCCTAGCTTTCCGGGTTGCATACCCCCAATGTCTGGGGGCGGGGGCGCTCAGGGGTCTGTTTCCAGGGCTCTGAACGAGAGGGCTTCCCAGCGCCGGTGGTCATCCTGCCTTTCATGAAACACGGCGACCTTCACAGTTTCCTGCTCTACTCACGACTCGGGGACCAGCCAGTGGTAAGGGGCCGGCCACAGCCCCTCCCCACCCGTGCACTTGCTGAGCTGAGCGGTGCCTGCTCACGGCCAGGGAAGCCAAGGTCACACAATCTACTCAAAAGCTTACCTCCAAGGTCCTCAATGAATACATCCATTAACAAGATGATTGAGATGCATAGGAGGAAACCCAGTAGGAGGGATCCTGGAATCCATCGGCAGGGGGCCAGGCAATTAGTTTGGGTGGACAGGGGAAAGACCTCAGGGTGGAGGTGACCTTGAAGACTGAGGCAGCTGGGGGCCGGCAGGAGGGCTGGGCGAGCCCCTTTCTATGTGAGCAGAGACCCGGAGGTCTGAACAGGCCTGGCTTGTTTGAGGAGAGGAAAGAGCCTGCTGCTTGGGGTGACTGGGGTGTATGCCAAAGGCCAGCTCCAGTCAGAGAGGGAGGCCAGAGACAATTATATAACCACGGTGTGAGTGCCCGGCTGTCAAAAACGCCACCCAGAGGCTCCTCGGTATAAAGGCCTGGTGATCTGCCTCTGAACAAACAGCCCTTAAACCCCAGAATAACCCCACACACCACAGTGGTACCTGCCGCCCAGGGGGTGACCAGGAGTCAGAATCCATTCTGATCCATTCTGCGGTCGTTTTGTATGGTTGGTGTTTGAGGCCACAGAAAGGGTTGTAATTGAATACTCGGGGCCCCGGGAAACCACTGCTGAGCAGAACCGGGCACACGGGGAAGGAAGGGTAGGGGTGGGGCTTGTTTCTCAGGGCCTGTGTTGACCTCCGGTACCCCCGCCCTGGCCCCCAGTTCCTGCCCACTCAGATGCTGGTGAAGTTCATGACAGACATCGCCAGCGGCATGGAGTATCTGAGCACCAAGCGATTCATCCACCGGGACCTGGCCGCCAGGAACTGCATGTGAGTGTCTGGCCCGCCTGCGACCAGAATCGGGACTGGGAAAGTTTGTCTGCACAAGGGTCAGGGCAGTTCTTCCTGGAGGAGACAGGCTCCGGAAGTGAACTGTTGAAGGATTTGGATGTTGTCTTCCGTGGCCTAGCGGGTCACCTATTGGGCTGCTAACCGCAAGGTCAGGAGTTCAAAACCAGCTGCTGCTTTGCCCTTGTGGGAGACAATGGATGCTTTCCATTCCTTTAAAGACATAAACCAACCCAAACAACAAAACCCCCACAGTGCCGTCAGGTTGATGCTGACTCATGGGGACCCTAGAGGAGGGGGTAGAACTGCCCCTGTGAGTTTCTGAGACGGGAACTCTCTACCGGAGTAGAAAACGGAAGACCAAACTATTGCCATGGAGTCTCTGCTGATTCATCAACCCCCTGTGGGTTTCCGAGACTGTAACTCTTTACGGAAGCAGATAGCCCCGCTTTCTCCCGAGAGGGGCTGGTGATTTCGAACCGCTGACCTTGGGGTTAGCAGCCCAACTCTTAACCAGTATGCCCCCAGAGAGGTCAGCCTCAGAAACCCACAGCGGCAATGCTACCCGCCCTATAGGGTCCCCAGGAGTTGGCCATCCACTGGACAGCAAGGAGTCTGTCAGTTCTCTCGAGCTTCCGTGCCAGAAATAATCACAAGGAGGTGGCTTTGAACCAGTAGCCATTTTCTCCCTGTACTGAAGGCTAAAAGTCCCCATTGATCCAGGCTCTAAACCAGGAGGGCTCTAGGGGGAAGATCCAGGGCAGCTTCCAAAAACTGATGGAAACAGGGACTGGCAAGAGAGAGAAAGTTTCCACACATTTTGCCCGGAAGCTCCTCCTGCTTGTCTTTTCGAACTTCTGTCTCTCGGTTCCTTTTCATGTGGCATCTTGCTTCCTGGTGGCGCCTGGTGGCGCAGGAGTTAGAGCGCTCAGCTGCTAATCAAAGCAACTCAACCCCCCAGCTACTTCCTGGGAGAAAGACTTTGCTGTCGGCTTTCCTGCCCAACCCTCTGCGGCAGTTCACCTCGGGCCTGCAGGGCCAAGTGGCTGAGAATGGCCTCACCAGGTTCTGTCCCCAGGCTGCTCCTCATGCCCCTCAGCAGCATCTCATTTTGGGGCACAAATATAAGATGCCCTGGTGCCCATTTGGGTTAAGTGTGGGGCTGTTAAAGGTCAAAGTCAAACCCCCTGTTCCCGAGTAGGTGGTGACTCAGAGATGCTGTAGGACAGGGTAGAACTTACCCCTGTGGATTTCCAACACTGTAACTCTTTTTCCCCCCCCCTTCTTTTTTTAATAAGGTATTTTTTAACAATTTCACTGACATACAATTCACATGTCATTGATGTCAATAGTTCAGTCACATCCATACGGATTATACAACCAACCATCAGGACAGTCTTGTCTGGTATATTTCTTCTTTTTCCTCATTCTTTTTTTTTTTTTAATCAATTTATTGGGGCTCATACAATTCATCACAATACATAGATCAATTGTATAAAACACATCTATACATTTGTTGCCCTCATTATTCCCAAAATTCGCTTGCCTCGTGGGTTCCCGGAATCAGCTCATTTTCCTTTTCCCCCCCCTCCCTTTTTCCTCATTCTTGTTGGCCCCCCATTTCCTGCCATCCCTCCTACCCATCTTGTCCCTTGGAAGCTATTGTTGTCTCTATAGGTGTACCTAACCTGGGTGTCATGTAGAAAATCCTACAAGATCAAGACAGCATACAAATAAATGATCCACAACAGTGATGCAATGAAGCAAAGAAAAACCTCCATTGATAGCTAATGGCAGAAAATACTCAAAACGGTGTCACGTTATGACCCAACTTCAATTACAGTCGTCTCCCAAGTCTGTCACTCACTCAGCCTTCCTCCTGCCGCGGCCCTTTCAGACAGTTCCTCGTGTGGTGGTGACTCCCCAACCGTCAAATCCTTGTCGTTGCTGCTTCATCACTGTCATTTTGCTACTGTGATAAATCGGGCGACTCCTGTGAAACGGTCGTTCGGACCCCACCCCCACACCCCCATCCCCGCAAAGGGGTCGTGACCCACAGGTTGAGAACCACTGTTCTACAGTAACCCACCGACCCATCATTCTTGACAGGAATAGAAAGCCTGTCTTTCTCCAACTGCTGATTGATTCAGCAGTCAACCACCCAACAGGAACCACTCGGCCACCAGGGCTGGCAGTTTAAACCCCCCAGGGGCTCCGAGGGAGAAAGATGAGGTTCTCGCTGCTCCTGGAAAGAGTGACCTTCTCGGACACCCCCCTCCCCCCCAGAGGCAGTTCTGCTCTGTCCTGGAGGATCCCTGTGAGTCTGCACTGACTCCATGCCAGTTGGCTGGTTTGGTTTGGGCTGGTTTTTCGGCGGCAATAGGGAGTCCCTGGTGGTGCAGAGGGTGAACACTGGGCTGTGAAGCCGAAAGGTGGGCGTTTCAAACCCACCTGCCGCTCTGTGAGACAGAGATGAGGCTGTCTGCTTTTCATTCGGCCCCTCTCGGGACCCCACTTGAAAGCAGTTGGGTTTTGGGGGGGGGGGGGGCTTTCCACCGCCCTAGTGGGAAATCATCACAAAGCGATAATAGTGAGGGGGAAAAACAACTTTTGTTCGGTGTATGCTGGTTACAGAGGAAACGGATGTCAGAGTGGGCTGATAGCAGCCTCAAAGCTATGTCTGCCCATCTGAAGAGCCTTATACAGAGAGTATAGGGAGCCCTGGTGGCCTAGTGGTTATGTGTTGGGCTGCTAACAGCAAGGTCAGCAGTTCGAAACCCACCAGCTGCTCCTCGGGGAGAAAGACAAGGCTTTCTAGTCCCATAAAGAGTGACAGTCTTGGAAACCCCCAGGGGCAGTTCTGCCCTGTCCTGTAGGGTCGCTGAGTCCGAATTGACCGGATGGCAGCGAGTTGGTTCTTTCCATAGCTGCCTGCAGAGATCGCAGGTAAAACATTGTAAGGAAGGCACTCCATGGGGGGCCTTTTGTTGATCCAATTGGAGAGGACAAAGGAGCTAACCCTCTTCTTTTTTTTTTTAATCGTTTTATTAGGGGCTCATACAACTCTTATCACAATCCATACATACATCAATTGTGTAAAGCACATTTGTATATTCATTGCCCTCATTATTCTCAAAACATTTTCTCTCCACTTAAGCCCCGGGCATCAGGTCCTCATTTTCCCCTCCCTCCACAGCCCCCTTATGAACCCTTGATAATTTATAAATTATTATTTTGTCATATCTTGCCCTGCCTGGCGTCTCCCTTCACCCACTTTTCTGTTGTCCACCCCCCAGGGAGGAGGTCACATGTAGATCCTTGCAATCGGTTCCCCTTTCCAACCCACCCCCTCCCTCTACCTTCCCAGTATCGCCACTCACACCACTGGTCCTGAAGGGATCATCCACCCTGGATTCCCGCCCTTTTATATTTACAAGTCTTAGTCCTGAAGGGGACTCCCTGAAGCCTACCCTCCTCAAGTTCATCTGTCTTTCCTGAGGCAAACCTGCCCCTCCCTGCCTTCCCGGAAAGCCCGGAAGATCGCTCCTCGCTCCTCCCTGTCTCTCAAGATTTCACCTTAGAAGTTTGGTGGTCCCAAAGGGAATGTGGGGTGCTCAGGAAGGCTGTAGGACTCCCTCTACCAGGGTTTAGGATGAGACTGGGGCTCTATGGGAGCAAGTGGGGGAGCCACACCGGTCTCACCTAATGAATATAACAAAGGACTCCCCCCTCCCCCAACACACACACCCGCCCCATGGGATGACATCCTCAGGTTTATACTGTGGCTTGGATTCTAACACAGAGTGAGGATGCCATTTCTTCCATAACCTACGTGGAGAGGGCACAGACCAGAGGGCAGGCTTAGGGGGCAGCATGAGGGGACAAAGGGGCTGGCTGATGAGGGTGTGAAGCCTTGTGATGAGGGGGAGTGACTGGGAAGCCCCCCCTGTCCCCCTCCACGTTGAAGAGTCTGTTGGGATTGCTGTTGGCAGAGAAGTGGGGAGCACACAGGATAAGGTGACAGTACACCCACCCCCTAGACTCTTCGCCATGTTCTATGTGCTGGACCCCTAGTCTCCAGTTAGAGCTGAAGACTCCTTTCACAGGACATGGGAGTGTTCATCACTCCCAAGAGGATGGAGGTGGAAATGTCCATTTTCTCACCAACTTTCGGCTTGGAGAAATTTCAGTCTTCCTGAGAAGTTGAGAGAACTGCATAAGGGACATCCAGTCACCCTCCTGGGTGACATTTTGTATGGTCCTCTCTCTCCTCCCTTGATCCCTCCCTTCAACTATTCAAAAGTAGGTTCCTCAGCGATGGCAGCTTCTCACCAAGGCCACCGCCAGCTTCACTTCACAGGAACAGGCTTTCTGCCCCAAAGAACACTGACAGCCACTCTATAGCACAGAGAACCATCCCGCTGGGTTCCCGAGGTGGTCTGTCTTGATGGGAACAGAGAGCTCCAATTTCCTCCCAAGGAAGGGCTGGGTTTGCCCCTGAGGAACCACGGTTCATCTCCCCTAAGTACATTCACCTTCATTCCACAACCTCACCTAATGGCCACGCACATTCCAATTCTTCCCCTGGTCCCCCAAATGCCTCTTCCCCCCTCCAAATCCATTGCCCCATTGACTCGATTCCGAAATCCGAGTGACGCTATCGTGCTGCGCAGAACTGCTCCGAAGAGCCCTGGGGGCATCAGGGCTACTCGCTGGGCTGCACTAACCGCAAGGTCAGCCGTTTGAAACCACCAGCCCCCTCCTGAGGAGGAAGAGGAGGCTTTCTACTCCTGTAAAGAGTTACCGGCTCAGAACCCCCTCAGGCAGTTCTACCCTGAGTTTTGTAGTGTGGTGAGTTTAGCAAGCTGCTTCGGGAAAGATTCAACCCCCAAACGAAGCCCACGCTAACGCTGAGTGACCTCATCAGCGTGGACCTGGACGGCTTCCTACGGGGTCCGAGGCTGATCCTCTGGAAGCCGTCT